TCTCCTGTTTTCAGCCTCTCAAGTGCTGGGATTACAGGCACATGCCACCACACCCAGTCTCAGTCACCATCTCAGCACGCCCCAGGAGCCAGGCCGCTGGGGATTGAGTGCTGGCTGCTGCACTCTGTCTGAGCAGGCGCTTTAGTCTGATGAGCTATCAGGCCAAGCCATAAATTTTGCAGCTGCTTCTCTCCTTCCAAGCCTCCTGATCATGCGCTGCTCCTCTCCGACAGGCTCTCGTGTGCTCATCTTCAGCCAGATGACGAGAGTGCTGGACATTCTAGAAGATTACTGCATGTGGAGGAACTACGAGTACTGTAGGTTGGATGGACAGACGCCCCATGATGAGAGACAGGTGAGTCCAATTCTGGGGAGGGAAGATTTTTAAAAATCAGATAAAATTTTCTCACATTCATTTTATTTTATATCCACAGGATTCTATCAATGCCTACAATGAACCAAACAGCACAAAGTTTGTTTTCATGTTAAGCACCCGTGCGGGTGGTCTTGGCATCAATCTTGCCACTGCTGATGTAGTAATTTTATATGATTCAGACTGGAATCCCCAGGTCGATCTGCAGGCCATGGTAAGAGAAAAGGATATATCCTGTGCCTAATAAGATATTTCAGTTAGGGGAGGCTAATTGTACACATGGCAGATTTATCTCTGCTTTTAGTTTTTTGCGAGCTAATGGTGCATTGAGAGCATTTTGAAGTCTGTCTTCGATGGAAGTCTCTGGTGTCTGGCAGTGGCTCAGTCTCGTGTAGCACTTCCTGTTGCTCCTGCTTCCTCCCGAGGGCAAGTTGGGAAGAGAGAACTGAGCATTGCCAGGAAACATACGATGTCAGACCTGGAAGGGCTCTCACACTGGCCAGCCAGATCCGGGATGTTGCTCAGCAGTCTACAAGGTCTGGGTATCAAAGACCTCGGTGTGTTGTCCTAGGAGGAAGGAGAAGTGGATTTGGTGAGCATCAGCCTTTCTACACTTCAGGTGCCGAAATTTCATGCCAGTATGTGGGTGTAGCTGGTCAGATCAGGATTATTGTGTTGAGAAAATGAATAATCTGTGGATTATTATGAAAACTTAATAGATACCTGTTTGTTCCTGCTAATGACTTGATTCATGATGTTGGTGGCTGTAAATCCAACTGTTGAATCTTTAGCATTGGTTATTTTAATTCTGTACTCTGTAAAGGTAGGTGGGGAAAGTAGATTAATTATTGGTAATAAGGAGCGGGCATGGTAGTACCCACTTGTAATCCCAGCACTCTGGGAGGGTAAGGCAGGAAGATTCCAAGTATTTACACCCCCCCAAAGTAATTTAGCAACAGTAAGATTTTATTTCAAAAAAAACAGGGAATGTAGCTTAGTGTGAGGAAATTGTGTTCAATCCCTAGTGCTACACACTCACATACACACACACAGAGAAAAGTTAACAAAATAGCATTCAAATTAATTTTACTAATACCATTCAAATTGATTTTACTGTTTGATTTAGGGTAATATTTAAATAAGGTAATATTGAAGACAAGGGTTTTTATATTGTAAAATCTGTTTTTCATGTCACTTTCTTTTATAGCATTGAAAATTAAGGTAAAATAAACATTATGAATTAAAACCCAAGAAAATGATTTTCAGTCTTGAGGATTGGGCCCAAGGCCAGTCCAGTAGCAGTGAGCAGCACCCTCAGTCTTTGGCTTTTAGTTTTGAGCAAAGGCCTTGCCAGCTTGCCTGCCCTGGGTTTGTATGCAGGATCCTTCTGCTTTAACCTTGTAGTGTGCTGGGATTACAGGGTGATTCACTGTATGTGGCTAAAAGAAAAAGAGTTTTTCAAAAACTATTTAAAAAAATCATCAGTGTTTTCCTTTTGAGATAACCAATAAATTCAGGCTCAGAAATTGAGAAATACCATTGCAATGTAAATTTATTGTTACGGGTTTTTGGTTACTTTTTGATTTTTTTTGAGAAAGGGTCTCGCTGTGTTGGCCAGCCTGGTGGACCTTGAAGTCATGGTGATTTTCATGCCTTGGCCTCCAGAGGGTTGGGATGACAGGCATGTGTACCAGTCCTGGTTTCCATTACATTTTAAAAGCATGGTGTTAATTGTTTATATGACTTTCAAAGTATATTCACAAGAATGTGTTTCACTTAGGACCGAGCACATAGAATTGGGCAAACCAAGACGGTCAGAGTGTTCCGCTTTATAACTGATAACACAGTAGAAGAAAGAATAGTGGAACGCGCAGAGATGAAACTCAGGCTGGATTCAATTGTCATTCAACAAGGTGAGCCCTAGAACTTTTCTGTTTTGTAGGGCGTTGTTTGTATTAAGCTTGTGTTGTGCCTTGGCAGCAGCCACTAAGTCATTTGTATTTCACAATTAGCAAGCATTGGTTTTATTTACTGTATTCTGGGCTTGAAAAAGCTGAGGTTTGAGGATTGATTCTTCCGTTTAGCTGTTATCTTCTGCCACCTCAGCATCTTACACCATCTGTTAAATGGGTTTAATGTCACTCTATTGAGAATTTTCAAGAATTTAGTGGGATAATTATATAAAATGCCTAATACGTAGAGTGATGCACATTCAGTAGAGCTGTGCTGTGATTTAGAAGCATTTTTTATTCTGGGTGTATTAGAGAGCTACAAATTCAAATGCAAGTCTGTCCTCATTTTTGTCAACTTGTTTACAGTAAGGTACTGCTTTGGATGCTTAGAAATGCAGTGGTTAAGGGAGCTTGCACTTTTTTTGCTTTCCAGGAGTTTTGTGACTTTTGGGGGGCTGGTCAGTGCAGTAGAATATGAAAATGGGATTTCATTTTTGGATTCTTTAAAGCAAATGTGACATTCTCACTTCAGATCAGCTTTGTAAGAAAGACATAATTTGATGCCTGTGTTTTTGAAAACAAATTATTAGGTTGTCCACATTATTACCAAGTGAAGATTACTTCTATTTCATCAGTGGTGAGTTTTTTATGTGACAAAGATAGTGTCAACTTTTCGATCAGTGCAGTTTAGGAACAGGATATTTTAGTTTGCACATCAATGTTGACTATATGAAGGAGGTGAAAACATGCCTAGACATATTTCACCTAAGAAAAGGCTGCTTTCCTGAGATTCGTAAGAATCGCTCTGGGCCTAGGGAGGAAGCTCAGTAGGGTAAGCGCCCGCCTGGCAAGCGCAGGTCCTGAGTGCGATCCCCGGTACCGCAAAGGAAAGGAAAAAGAGAATCTTTCTGCTCATCGGTAATTTGGGTTTATAATACTTCATGCTGTAATTTGTAGAGATTTTCCTCTCATAATTTTGATTTTTAAATCCTAAATATTCCACCAATTAATTGTTTTTCATTGAGACAATATGCAGTTGGTGACGTCACATAAAATAAAGCATTGTAAGCATTTCAAGGCTAACAAAGTTTGCCAATAAATTTAATATGAAAATGAAGTGAATTTACAGTGTGCAGATTGAGGTTGGAGGCAAGGTCATCAGGTGTTACATCCTAATGTTTACTTCCTGTTTCCACTAAAATAAAGTGTGTGTCACGTTGTACCACACAATCTCTTGCAGGGAGGCTTGTGGATCAGAATCTTAACAAAATTGGGAAGGACGAAATGCTTCAAATGATTCGCCATGGGGCGACACATGTGTTTGCCTCAAAGGAAAGTGAGATCACTGATGAGGATATCGACGGCATTTTGGAAAGGGGCGCGAAGAAGGTGAGGCAGATGGCAGGAAAGGGCATGGTTTAGAGCAGATATCCTTGTTTTATCAGTTATGTTCTTGTTTCTGTGCAAAGCTTTTGGGCACTGAAGGTTTTAATGCATTTTTACTACGAATCCCAAGGTTCTTTCTGTTCTTGTTGTTCTCACTTTCATGATGTCTTCTTGTGTTGTGTAGACTGCCGAGATGAATGAAAAGCTCTCCAAAATGGGTGAGAGCTCCCTTCGAAATTTCACAATGGATACAGAGTCAAGTGTGTACAACTTTGAAGGAGAAGACTACAGAGAAAAACAAAAGGTATTTCACAAAGAAGTTTCTGTTGTGTGGAAGCTTTATTTTACTGAAAACTTGCAGTTTTAAATATTTGATATCATACCTTATAATTTCATCTCAAATAGTCATTTCAGTTTATTCACATCTAAGTCTTTTCATTATGCAAAATTTAAAATTGCTTTTTAATTTCATAAAATCAGAAAATTTACTAGTTTTTATAATGAAGTTGAATGTATATTGTTAGAAACACTCGTATGAGTTGAATGTACTAGTTAACATATTTGAAATGAAAATGATGGGCAAAAATTGCCATAAGCTGCTTTATTAAATAAAGAGAAAGAATTAGAAGGAAAATTTTTTAAGTTTTATTATACGTAGCAATAGAGAGATTGGACATGCCTAAAGTTGAAGAAAGAGGAATTCTACCTAGACTTTTTCTTATTTATCACTTAGACATCTGTATTCTCAGGTGTTTTTCTAGATTAAGTATCTGTATTTTTGTATTTTTCTCTTACTCTGGGTGACAGCATACACTGCAAAGTCCCAGCAGAATTATTCATTTAGTCAAGAAATGTTAGAATTTTTTTGCCAGTTAATAGACACTGTTTTAGATGTTAAGTATATAGTATTGTACAAAATATTATAGTCCTTGTAGAACTTAGTATCTATGATTATGTCGGTATCTTTCATTTACTGACAACATTCTTAATTATGATTTGTTACTACATGTAACAAAAGTTGGTGATTTGAATTATTTACCACATGCTAGATTGCATTCACTGAGTGGATTGAACCACCCAAACGCGAGAGAAAAGCAAACTATGCTGTTGATGCATATTTCAGAGAAGCTCTTCGTGTCAGTGAACCTAAAGCACCCAAGGTGAGTTCAGATGGCACAGAAATGGCTAAAGTACTACAAATAGAACCTTAAATAATTTTAGGGGCTTGGGAGATAGCTCAGAGGCAAAAGCACCTACCTGGCAAGCATAAGGACCTGAGTTCGATTTCTGGCACCTGTCTCCACATGCCATGCCACCCCCAGAACCTCAAGTGTACTGTCTCGGCCCAGATCCCCTGGGCAGGTGTGCTGTGCTGCCCCGGAACTAGGCATAGTGATGCCCACTTGTAATCCCAGGAGGTTGAAATAGGATCAGGATCAGGATTGCTGGGAATTTGCAACAGCCTGGGGGCTACAAAAGTGAGTGCAGGGCCAGCCCAAACTGCATAGCGAGACTTTGTCTTTAAAAAAAAAAGTACATACTATTATATATTTTTATATGTATATAATATAATTTATATATTATATATATATTTTTAAATATCAAAATAAAGTTGAATTGCTATGTTCTCTGAGCATCCCTGTACCCTCAGTTTTAAGATTCATTGTAATTTTGATTTGACATTTCACTTTCATTGAATGATGCTCTCAGTTTCTTGAAGACTTGGCTGTCTTGATCTGTGAAATGAAAGTGCTAGGAAAAGATTTTTATTATTTACTTACTGTAATTCAAAGCCATTACTATATATTTTTAATAGGTAACATTAAAATATTTTTCTTTATAGGCTCCTCGACCTCCAAAACAACCCAATGTTCAGGATTTTCAGTTCTTTCCCCCACGTTTATTTGAATTACTGGAAAAAGAAATTCTGTATTACAGAAAAACTATTGGGTACAAGGTAATTGAAATTATCTACTTTGTGTCATATTCTATCCAGAATCCATGAATGGCAGAAGCAGAAGTTGTTAATAATTTAATTTCAGTTTGGTAGAAAAAGCTATTTGCCATACCTAGTGGTACATGTTTAGTATATAAACTTTTTACTTCATTACAGTGAAAGAAAAACTTGATGAGTACCCTTTTTTAATGTAGTAAATGCAGATGTCAGTATGTTTTTTCATTGTTGGATTGAAACCTGAGGAAGACAGTGCTAATTATCTGGTTAGGACTGTTAATTTGCCACATGCTTTCTCAGTGTGTTGACTTACAGCATAGGGAATCTCTCTTAGGTACCTCGAAGTCCTGATCTTCCTAATGCAGCACAAGCACAGAAAGAAGAGCAGCTGAAAATTGATGAAGCAGAACCCCTGAACGACGAGGAGTTAGAGGAAAAAGAGAAGCTTCTGACACAGGTGTAGTCTCAATCAACACAAAATTTAGTCACAGTGATTTGTCAGTGCTGGGTGGGGCGTGCTGAGCGTACAGAATACAGTGTTCTGCGTTCAGTGTTAGAACAGCTGGTGCTGATGAAGTGCGTGTAAGCGGTGCGCTTGGATTCTCGCTGGTGCTTGAGAAGATTGTAGAGCTGCACTTGAGGATTCCTTCCTTGTGTGGTGGTCTCATCCTGCCTGTGAACCCTCGTTGTTGCTGCCAAGTCACCATTCTCAGTTACACATCTCTGCTTGCTTATCACTGGGGCACAGTCCTGCCATGTGGTTCAGGCTGCCCGATCCTCCTCGTGGTGCAGCTGTCCTTGCGCCCAGCACTCTGGCTGCTTGTAAAGCATCTGTTTGGATTCATCGTTCAAGGTCTTCCCGAATCTGTCCTTTAAATCTTTACCTTAAAAGTTTTGCTTCCTCCTTTCCCGCTTGCCCATCTCTGTGCCTTCTTCACTCTCCATGACTGACTCCTGCTTATCCTTCAAAGGATGGCAGAGCTTTTCCCATGGCATTCTCACTCCTCCCTGCCAGAGGTGAGAGCTCAGTTGTCTGAGCAGTGTGTGATGATGCGTACTTTGTGTGGGGAAGTCATCACTCTAGAAGGACTGTTGTTGGAAATGGTTTCTGTAGTAGTCAGAGACCTGTGTAAAGAAAGGGTCATGGTGTTTTCCCTCAAATTTTCTACTACTTTCCAGGGATTTACCAATTGGAATAAGAGAGACTTTAACCAGTTTATTAAAGCTAATGAGAAGTGGGGCCGTGATGATATTGAAAATATAGCAAGAGAAGTGGAAGGGAAAACTCCTGAAGAAGTCATTGAATATTCAGGTAATTCTTTCATCATTTACTGCAGAAGTTTTCAAGATTTCAGAGAACTACCATGAATATCTTTGTTCTCTTAATCTAAGTTATATTTCAGTCAGGTGAATTTTTCCAAAGCATCTTGCCTTGTATGCTTCTAAAGACAAGTTAGAACAGATCTTGTGACCTAAAATTGCATAAATGGTATTTTGAGTTTTTAAGAAATATATTTATTTTTATTTTTTTGCTTTTGTTTGTTTTAGAGATATGGTCTTGCTAAATTCTCCAGACCATCTTTATGTGGTACAGGATTTCACTGCGCAGCTCGGGCTCGTAGTGATCCTCCTGTTTTCAGCCTCCCCAGGGCTGGGATTATAGGTGCGTGCAACCACGCCTGGCACATCTGGACTATCTTTAAATTTGAGATCTTCCTGCCTCTAATTCCAGCATGTAGGGAGGCTGAAGCAAGCGGTTAAGGCCTAGCTTGATTTTTCTTTCTTTTTTTAATGCAAGCTGTATAGCCAAAAAAGGTAGAACAAGTCATGAAATAATTGTTTAAATTTTTATTCCTTTCTCTTCATCATTTCTCCTTTTTTTTTCATGTGGATTCTAATTCAGAATGTTGTGCTTGCCAGGCAGGTACTATGCTGCTGAGCTACGTCTCCAGCCCTCTCCATCTGTTCTTACCTATTTGTGTTTCATATTCGGTTGAATATGTGTAGTTATTTTGTGGTGAGTCTGCCTGGAATTTTAGCATAATTTTCTTACATTTTAGGAAATTGAAAAATTAAAGGTGACTTACTACTTTCTAATAATATTGAATATAGGTTAAATGGAAATGTTTCTTAATCCTCAGCAAATGATTTGCAGTAGACACATTAAAAAAGTTATTTATATTTATACCCTTGTGCCACTTGTCCCATCTGTCCAACTTCTGTTTTGGACAGCTGTGTTCTGGGAAAGATGCAATGAGCTCCAGGACATAGAGAAGATCATGGCTCAGATTGAGAGGGGAGAGGCGAGGATTCAAAGAAGAATAAGCATCAAAAAAGCACTGGATACAAAGGTATTTTGTATTAATACGTATTTTAGTTAATATACCTTCTGTCATTAAAGAGTTAATTTTTTTCAAAGGAAAGGAAATGAGGGTTTAAAATTAAAAATTTCTTCAAAGAAAAACAAAATTTGTTAATGTTGTCAATATCAGTTTTTTCTCTTCGACTTACCATGTCAGAGGTGCTAGAATTAGCTTCTGATCAGACTTGTGAGTCTGTGTTTCTTTTAGTAATGCTAAGGGAGACAAGCTGGGCTTGATGGCACACACCTGGAATCCCAGCACTTGAGAGGCTGAGGCAGGAACATCACCACAAGTTCAAGGCCAGCCCTGGGCAACGTTAGTGGGCCAGCATGAACTACATAGTGAAACCCTGTCTCCAAAAAAGAACAATATGACTTTAAAGATCTAATAGGATACAGCAGTTGACCGCTAGGAAGAATGTATGCAATGTGTTAGTTATTGAGACTGTCCTGCCAATCTGGTTTGAAACTGTCTCATTGTTATTTGTTTCTCAATAAAATTATGGGAAAAAGAAAGATCTAATAGGAAAAGTGCTATAGAATGTAGTTGTGGTTATCTGGATAGAAAAATTTGACTTTAATAACAGCTTTTATATAATTACATAATTATTGTAAAGCTGAATTTGAAGTAGATTAGATAGGATTTGTATTTCATATAGTATCTGACTTTTATAGATCGGACGGTACAAAGCACCTTTTCATCAGCTCCGAATATCCTATGGTACTAACAAAGGAAAAAACTACACAGAAGAGGAGGATCGCTTCTTGATTTGTATGCTGCACAAGCTTGGATTTGACAAAGAAAATGTGTATGATGAATTGCGACAGTGTATCCGCAACTCTCCTCAGTTCAGATTCGATTGGTTTCTGAAGTCCAGAACTGCAATGGTGAGCGCTGGAGTTCTTTTGTGTAATGTAGCAGACGTTAGGATGTGGTGTTTGCTTTGTTTTGTTTTGTGGTGTTGGGGATTGAATTTAGGATGTCGATCTAGGCAAGAACTCTTTGATACTAATATTAGGTTCTGAGAGAGAAGTTCAACATCCGTTTCAGCTTCTGAACGTGACCCTCTTGGTTTTCCAAATTAACAGTTTTTTGTAGAGAAACCTGATCTTCATATTGAAGCATGTGCATGTCAATGCTAAATTTGAATTAGATGGCTAAATGTATGAAAACACTACTTTCTGTACCAGTGTATTGGTAGACTTTGTTTTTTAGTCCTAATATCTCACCGTTTCTGGCCAAAGAGCTTCATTTCTGACAACCTAAAATTAGAGTTCAGGAAGGTTTGGTTCTGAAGTGTTGTTCCTTTTCTTGTGTATTTCGTTACCTTTAAAGTTGTCGCTTCAGCTTTTGTTCTGTAGGATGATGAAAATCGACAGTGTAAATATCTTAGTATTTACAGCAAGAGTTCGCGTACTTGCTATCTGCTTGCAGTGTAGTATCACAGTGCTGAGTAAAGCGTTTCCACATTGGACTGCTGAAAATTTTTCAGAAGGCAAAATAGTCCCTAAGTGTATAGGTAGATGAATGATAGATTTAGTTGCTGTAAACTCCTCCTATATCTTTAAACAGAAGAAATTTACTTAGTTCACAAGGAGTAATGGTTCTGTAGAGACTGCGGGGCTGCGTAGTGGTAGTGGATTAGCTGCTGAAAATCCCAGCACTTTGGAGGCCGAGGCAGAATGATCACTTCATGTTCAAGGCCAGGCGGAACTCCATAGCAAGACTGTCTCAAAAAGCCAATAAAAAAGAGAAGAGGTGGTGTCACTGACACAATACCGTGGTATACAGTTGAGTTACTTCCTAACACAGGCACACAGAAGAATCCTAATACCTGGGCCACCAGGGCGATCACTGGGAGCATAGGCTTCACTCAGGAGCCGGCAGGATTCCAGCCTCAGCCTGTCAGTCACACATCGATGGCGTGCGTGCCTCAGTGCCCTTGAGAAGGGACAGAGAGCTTTGTGTTACTGCCTGTGTGTGACTGTCTTTGTTGTGTTAGGAATGCTTTTCATTGTGTGATGAGTGTTTGTGCAGAGGTTTTGCTCATTACAGACCTGCTTGCCTTGTAAGGTCCCAGGCTGCCCTCCAGCGGTTATGCAGGGGCATTTCTGTTTTGTGCAGTGTTGAAGTTCTAGTTGATTTTGTTCCTCAAGTGTGTGTATCATTTTTTTTTTTAATTTAGGTTATAAGTAGTATAAAGTTCTTAGGCACAGTTATCAAAATTGAATATATAAGATTCATTTTCATTCCTAAAAGAGAAGTATTTATGAAAAGTGTACAACAGTACGGTGTTTTTTTTTTTTTTTTTTTTTTTTTCTTTTTGAAACAGTGTTTCATTATACATTTCAGGTTAGCCTTGAACTTTTTTTAGCCTGGGCTGGCCTCAAATTTGCAGCTGTCCTCTTGCCTCAGCCTCCTAAGTGCTGGGATTACAGACGTGTGCCACCACGTTTGGCTGAAATAACTTTTTTAAAAGTCTTCATGGAATGCCTTATGTATCAATAAGTTACCTTGCTTGTCTTTAATGTATGGGGATATGGAGTGGTTTTAGGTCATTTCCCAAAATATGCCATTGTTTAAAGATTGAAAACATATGACAACTTGTAGATGAAAAATAACAAGTTATTATGTACATTTATGTATAACTCAGGAGCTCCAGAGGAGGTGTAACACTTTAATTACATTGATTGAAAGAGAAAACATGGAACTAGAAGAAAAGGAGAAGGCAGAGAAAAAGAAACGAGGACCAAAGCCTGCAGTAAGTACTCGTGAACATGGTGAGGCACGGATTGCGAAGCTTCCACTTGCCAGGGAGATGGCGCAGTAGAACAAGCACTTAGGACCTGAGTTTACTCCCCTGTTCCACCAAAAGAAAAAAAGAAGAAAGAAACTTTCACTTTTTTTCCTTTTGAGTCAGGGTCTTATGGTGTAGTTCAGCAAGGCCTTAAAACTCTCTTTGTAGTATGTAGGCTGGCGTGGAAGTCACAGGGATCTTCCTGTCTCAGCCTCCCAAGTGCTGGAATTACAGGAGTAATCCATGCCTACCTTGTCTTGTTTTTGAAAATAATAGAATTAAGTCACTGCAAATGTAAAATTTTAAGTTGATTGCATTAGGAAATTGTGTTTTAGTGAGAGTTTCTAAGAAATCTGGGGGAATATGTATCATGATGAATGCTGACGGTATACACTTCGGGAGCTCTTAAGTCAATTTTAGACTAAGGATTATTAGGAAAATAGTAACTTTATAACTTTTTAATATTAGCTTCTAAGCTTTGGTTTATTGTCCTAATGATGTCTTAGCTGTGAGAAAAGAAGTATTTTAAGGATAATAAAATTACCTTCTAGTTTTTGATACATTTGGATTTGTTTTCAGAGGAATTCTGAATTCTGTATTCTGGGAGGAAACCAATGTACTTCTGTTAAGCAGTTGTTCCGAAGATGCTGTGTTGTGTTTATGAGTTTATTTCATCTTGTAGTAGTATGATCATCAAAAGAAATCTTTCTGCTTCTTTGTAGACACAGAAGCGTAAAATGGACGGAGCACCTGATGGTCGAGGAAGGAAAAAGAAGCTAAAACTATGAATGCGTATTTGTTTCATAATCACTAACTTTCAAACAGTAGTTCTTTAATTTACGGGTCTTCATAAGATGTACTGTACAATGCTCAATGTTACGTCACTCAGAGACACCAGGTCCATCTGTTTACTGAGCTAGAGCTATAGTATGTACTTTCACTTTTTTAAATGGAACAGCTGTGCTGAAATTTTTTTTATCATTAACACTTGAAGTAATAAAATAGGCTTCATTTATTAATCAATGTTTGTTTTGATTTATTTTTCTATTAGTTTCATTTGTGAAAGTTGTGACTTTTGTTTATCAGCCATCTTTTTTGCTGTCCTAAGGCTTAAAAACAAGCAAACAAGTAAAAAATTGCAAATAACAGCCCTTCAGTCTTCATTAGTTATCTGATTGTTCCAGTTCACTTTGCCTTCGCAGAAATTGGGGTATTTTCTTTGTAGTACGGTTGAGTCTCATCAGGAAAGATTATGTAAATTGAATTCATGATTATTATCAAATAGGGGAAAGGCAAAACAAATTATACCTAATTTCTGTGCATACATGTGTTAATGCTTTCTGTTTCTGTGGTTACTTCTGAAATGAATTTGCCCTTTTATGTTGGAAGAATGGCCTTTTAGTTGTAATAGCCAAAGACTTTTTAGTATTTTCTTGTTCTTTAAAGTGTAACATTTTGTAAAAGGAATTTTTTTTAAGTATGTGGTAAATATTTTGACAAATAACCTTCTCAAGCAGCCATGACTTAGAAGGATGTCAGAAGGAAAATGATTTTTTTTCTTATAGGAAGACCCACCCAAAATAAGGTGTGAATTTGTCATGCTATTAAAATCAGTAACAACTTGTATCCCCTCCCAGTTTATAGTATTTTTGAGTTAGTAGAATAAATGAAAATTTTATTTTATTATGTTTTAAAATAATTTCTGGATACTAGCAGCAAAACCCGAGAACAAATCCAGTTTTTATCTTCTAGGGAACAGAATTCACAAACCGGAGACCCAGAGCGGGACTCCCCAGCTGTAGGCAGGGCTCTAGCTGTGCCAGGAGCCTTCGTGCGCTCCGCGTAACGTGTATAAAGTTTTATATGTGCACATTGGGTAAGCAGCTCCATTTTTCTAAGGGAATGCAATAAATGTAGCGTCGTGAATAAATATAACTTTTATAATCCCTGAAATGGTCTTTTCTTTCCATTTCTTTAAATTTTCCTGCCTTCATTCTTTACTTTTTCTTTGGACGTTCTCTATTAGGTTTCTTTCTCAACTTAATCTACACACATATAATCGAAAATTCTGATTTAGCAGTATTACCACTAATTTTCTAAACTATGGGATTGCTGTTAGTGTGAAACAACACTTTTTTTTTTTTTTTGCATTTTAGGGTGTTCAGGGTCTCACTGCTAGATCAGACTCATAGTGATCCGCCCGTTTAGTGTCCCCACTCGGTCTCAGTTGCCATCTCAGCGTGCCTTGGGGTGGGGCCAGCACACCCGGGATCGACCCGCAGCCCCTGAGCCTGCTTGCGGGCGCTGTAACCCGCCGAGGTATTTGGCTGGCCTTTCAGTGCTCATTTAAAGCAACGTTTTTTCAGAAGAGCAATTGGAAAGTGGTAGCAGCGGACATGCCGACTAACCAAATACAAACCCTTGGGGGTTTGAAGACTCCCGTAAATAGAAATGTGGTAAAAGTGGCTTGAGAAAAACAGGCAGCTGTACCTGCGTCGGCTTTGCGGGTTAGCCAGCACTGCATAGATTTGTGTGTCACAGGTCAGTCTGCACATGAGTTTGCACGTTCATGTACAATAAAGTAAAGCTCTGTTTTTACTACTAATTAAGGGAAGGGAAAATGCTAAGCTCAGAGCGCATGTCTCAATTTGAGGGACTGGTGCTGAAGAGGGCCTCAGAGCTGGATGCTGCTGCGCGCTGGAGGAGCAAGCAGTGCCCGGATGGCCGGCTCCTGCAGGCTGTTCCCCAGAGCATCCGGTTCTCATGGACGGAGGTTTTCAGTGTTACTTCTGTTGGGAAGGTAAATTTTGCCCGTATATAAATGGCAGTTGGCACTTAATGTTAAGTGCTAAAACTTGACCTCCCACTCCGAAGATAATAGAAAAATTCCCAATTACTCTTTTTTTTTTTATTTTTATTTTTTTTTATTTGAGAGAGAGAGAGAGAGAGAGAGAGAGAGAGAGAGAGAGAGAGAGAGTGGTGTGTGTGTGTGGCCAGCTCAGCCCACCAGGGGGCGGGGCTGGCTGGCATGTGGTGCTGGGGGATTGAACCGCGGTCCCTGATGCTTTGCCAAGCTTGTTCTAAGTAGGTGCCTTAGACCACTGAGCCATCTCTCCAGCCCCCCAATTACTCTTAAATTTGTTCTTGGGCAGAAACAACCAACCTTGTCAAAGTGGCCATACTTTCAATTTCAAAACTGTTACACAGATTTAATGCAATCTTACTCAAAATAGCAATAGCGTATGTCAGAGAATTAGAGAATACAATCTTAAAGTTCGTTTGGAGTCAGAAGAGCCCCAGGATGACAAAAGTCTTTCTGGCAAGGAAGGTAAGGCACAATCCCTGGCTTGAAACTATACTACAAAGCTACTGTGGTGAGAAATAGCGTCGTACTGATGAGAAAAGCCAGACCTGAGTGTCAGTGTGACAGAATAGAAGATGTAGAAGCAGCTCTGAACAGCCACCTCCACCTTTGACAGAGGGGCCAGACACCTTCATTGGAGGGAGGGAAGCCTCTAAGAAATGGTGCTCTGTGAGCTGGCTTTCCACATACCGAAGACTGAACCTAGACCCGTATCTCGCCATGCACTAAACAGATGAAAATATGGCAGTGATCTAAGTAGTAATGTGGTGGGAGGTAGAATAGGTAAACTGGAGCCCCGGTGTAGGCAAAGACTGAACAAATCTCTGCACTCGGCAGTTAGCCTCATTTGAAGTTCTGCCCAACAAAAGTCCGCAGAAGGAAGTGGCAACACGGAGTGGGAAGAAAACTTAGCAGCTGTTCCTCAGAGAAGGGGCTAATAGCTAGAATACATAAAGAACTACCCTCCCCCAAATTTAGGGACCCAATCCAGAAATAGGCACCTGAAGTGAAAGACACTTCTTAAAGGAAGAAGTACAAACTGCAAGTACGTGAAAAATGTTCAACATCACTTCGCAGGCAGGCGAATTAAAACAACACTTGAGATTCCCCCTGAAAGAATGGTGGGCCAGGGATATGTACAAGGTCCTGAGTTTGATTTCCAGTGCTTAAAAAAAGAATGAACTACCATCATGTCAATAATATGCTGGTGAGGATGTGGGGAGAAAGGAACCCTTCTCTACTGTTACTGGAAATCAATACAGAGATTCTTAACCTAAATCTAGAGGTTGCATTTGACCAGCAGTCCCTTCGGCGTCTTCCCAGGGTTAAAAACATCGCAGCACAGTGACACGTGCACACTCACGTTCATAGCAGCGTAATTTATAATGGCTAAATACTAGGGACAACCCAAATGCCCAGCGATGGTTGGATAGAAGGGAGTTTTTGTATGCAGTGGAGTAGTACTCTGCCGTAAAGGACAGTCGAGACTTAGGTAAGTGGTACACCTGGGGACCGTAATTTTAAGTGAAGTAAATCAGACACATGTTGCATTGTTTCTCTGTGTGAGAAACTGGAAGGATAAACAAGAACCAAAATGGATAATTAGTCTTGAAAAATAAAATGTTCAAATGAGAAGATGTACAAGAAAGGATAAGAGGGAGGGGAAGGGTAGGAAAGGAAACAAAAGGAAACAAAGCTTTTGTAGACAGAGTTGGAGGGAAGGGAGCAGAGTGGTGAAAGATTCATTTTGCACAGGTACAGATTTCCTGTGATGTGTATGATCATGTATGCCAGAAGTGTACTAAGAAAATAAACGTGGCCTTTATTAATTTAATGATGAATATTCCTGCGTAGGATGGTAGTTGAAATTGCACAGTTGGGAAAACACCCAAAAAACTCATGAATTTTTTTTCTTTTTGCAGAACTGGGGATTGAACTCAGGCCCTTGTGCTTGCCAGGCAAACATTTATTCCACTGAGCTATCTCCCAGGCCCCCAAAAAGAAAACTTGTGAAAGAAAAAAATTCTGATACCAGTTTATGAGTAATACAATGTATGTTGTGTATCAAAATGGAAATCCTGTTTTAAGATGATCCATAATGAATCTGAACTATGTCCCTCTTGTTACAACAAACATTGAATATATAAATTTGTATATTGGTGTATATGCAACTAATGAAGATACTATGATTTTTTTTAACATATTGTGTATTTTAGTTATGTTCATTGCTTCTGTATTCATTAAAAAAAGTGATGTGTAAGATGGCAGTACCTCCACAGACGTCGAGGCGATTCAGCTACCTTCCCTTTAGCTTCATGTTTGTGCCACTGCTTCCAAGGAATGCCCACTTCCAAGGCTGGCCACTGTAGCCTGCTTTCTGGGGTGGGGAGAGGCCGGCTCCGGCATGCCCGGCATGTGCTACTGAGCGCCCAGCTGTCGCCCTGCTCCGCATTGTCGCCGCCCTGCTGGTAGACTGAACTACTTTTCAGGCACAGTCACTTACACAGAGAAGGTTCACTAAGACATGCTGGCAGTGTGTGTGCGTGCGTGCACGCAACAAAACAACTTCCACCTGATCCTTTTCCTCTCCTTTCTGCACAACTGAAAGAATCATCTCTCCAGGCTCTTGGGAAATGACTTCAGCGCCACAGGGCTGGATCAGCATCGCTAAGTCTAGATACTGACGGTACCTTTCTAGTTAGCACTTGCCTGGGCTGGAGCTTCGCCTGCTTCTCATGCACCCTGAGCACCTCGGCCACTCTGCAGCCCTCACTCTGCCCAGCGCTGGCCGGTCGCTTTCCCTCTGCATTCAGGGTGCCAGCTCTGGCACTTTCTTATCCTCCAAAAGTTGTATCTCCCCAACACTTCTGACCGCCGCTGTGCCTGGTGGCCAGACCTCTTTCCCCCTAGATCTTGTTCTCTTTCCCTGTCTACTTCACATTACTACTTGAAGAGTTACAGAGCCCTGGAACTCAGTGCCCAAGACCTAGCTCAGGCTTTCTTCCCTGCTTTCCTCCCGTTGGTGAAACCTTTGTGCTGTGCTGCACCAGCAAGAAGCTTCAGAGGCGCCTGGCCTCCCTCTGACCCCATTTTTGTCTCAGAAGAGGAAAAACGCTGATAAGGATGGGCTGAACGTCCTGAGGTTGCGCAGCTCTTGAGGCCTGGAGCTGGGATTTGCGCCCAGGCACTGTGGCCACAAGTGTGCATGCCTAGCTTTGTCCCTTGTATCGCACAGAAGTGCGAGCAGGAGCCGGGCTTCCCTGTGTGCTTGGCTTCTGGGAGCGTCAATGCTTCGCGATAGCTATGGCTTGTTGGCAAATGAGTCAGTGGGAGCCTGGGCTTGGGCTCCCCTTTAAGCCAGACACCTGCTGGCCTCCAGCCTCCTACACTAGGCTTAGTCCAGCACGGGCTCCAACTCTTTCCTTACTGCTCCCAGCATCTGTTTAAGGATGCTGTCCCCTGCTCAGAAATCCCTGAGGGATGCCTCGTGCTACTGTAACCGTAGGCGCCACCTTCCTATGTGAGTATATGCTCAGCAGGCAGCAGGTCGACCTGGGATCTGCAGACGTATGTTGGGCAAATGCCTCATGGAG